TAAAAACAAAGGATTTATAGAAATGTTGGCCAACTGAAAAGTATGAACATGAAAAGTATGAGCATGTACAGCACTCAGTATTTAGTTGGGCCTCCTTTGGCCTGTATTACTGCAGCAATGCGGCGTGGCATGGAGTCGATCAGTCTGTGGCACTGCTCAGGTGTTATGATAGCCCAGGTTGCTCTAATAGTGGCTTTTAGCTCTTCTGAATTGTTGGGTCTGGTGTATTGCATCTTCTTCTTCACAATACCCCATAGATTTTCTATGGGGTTAAGGTCAGGAGAGTTTGCTGGCCAATTAAGAACAGGGATACCATGGTCCTTCAACCAGGTACTGGTAGCTTTGGCACTGTGTGCAGGTGCCAAGTCCTGTTGGAAAATGAAATCTGCATCTCCAAAAAGTTGGTCAGCTGCAGGAAGCATGAAGTGCTCTAAAACTTCCTGGTATGTGGCTGCGTTGACCCTGGACCTCAGAAAACACAATGGACCAACACCAGCAGATGACATGGCACCCCAAACCATCACTGACTGTGGAAACTTTACACTGGACTTCAAGCAACGTGGATGAAGTGCCTCTCTTCTTTTCCTCCAGACTCTGGGACCTTGATTTCCAAAGGAAATGCAAAATTTACTTTCATCAGAGAACATGACTTTGGACCACTCACCAGCAGTCCAGTCCTGTTTCTCTTTAGCCCAGGCAAGACGCTTCTGACGCTGTCTGTGGTTCAAGAGTGGCTTGACACAAGGAATGCGACAGCAGAAACCCATGTCTTTCATACGTCTGTGTGTGGTGGTTCTTGAAGCACTCACTCCAGCTGCAGTCCACTCTTTGTGAATCTCCCCCACATTTTTGAAGGGGTTTTGTTTCACAATCCTCTCCAGGGTGCGGTTATCTCTCTTGCTTGTACACTTTTTTCGACCACATCTTTTCCTTCCCTTCGCCTCTCTATTAATGTGCTTGGACACTGAGCTCTGTGAACAGCCAGCCTCTTTAGCGATGACCTTTTGTGTCTTGCCCTCCTTGTGCAAGGTGTCGATGGTCGTCTTTTGGACAACTGTCAAGTCAGCAGTCTTCCCCATGATTGTGTAGCCTATAGAACTAGACTGAAAGACCATTTAAAGGCTTTTGCAGGTGGTTTGAGTTAATTAGCTGATTAGAGTGTGGCACCAGGGGCCATCAATTTTGAACCTTTTCACAATATTCTAATTTTCTGATATGATGAATTTGAGATTTTCATTTGTTGTCATTTGTAATCATCAAAATTAAACAAAATAAACATCTGAAATATATGAGTTTGTATGTAATGTATGAATATAATATACAAGTTTCACTTTTTAAATGGAATTACTGAAATCAATCTACTTTTTCATGATATTCTAATTTTATGACCAGCACCTGTATATCTGGCTCTGGGAATACACTAAACAGCAAAACATTATTTATTGTTGGACTACTGTTAAAGGAATAGTACACCCAAAACATGATTAGCCTTCATTTTCTACTCACCCCCATGCTGAACAACACTCTGGAGTACTTTTTTGATATCTCAAATGCATCTGGAGATCTGGGAGGCTTCTTGCTGTCTGCTGACATTCAAACAATGGAGGTCTATGGTGACCGAGACAGAAAGGTCCATAAAAGCCCACAAAAAACGTTTCAATATTCCTCCATACTGCTCGTCCAATGTATTCCAAGTTTCCTGAGTGGGTAGCATCCAGAATTTACTCGAAACGAAGTCATTTAGAATGTTTTTAGAGCATAAACAGTAGTGTATAGGATTTCCTGAAAAGCGCGCACATGCGCGATCACGACGCTACGGAAGCCGGCAGACCAAACCAGCGCATTCAGCTCGGCAAAGAACTCCTGCTCTTCCTCAACACTGAAGTCCTCAGACATTTTTCTTTCGTTGTTTCTTTCTTTGCACAGGTAAACAGCACATTTCTTCTTCTACGCTTGCATTATCGGCAGAGCAGACGCTGAATGCGCACTTTCATCTGGTTTGGTCTGCCGGCTTCCGTAGCGTCGTGATCGCGCATGTGCGCGCTTTCAGGAAATCCTTTACACTACTGTTTATGCTCTAAAAACATTCTAAATGACTTCGTTTCGTGTAAATTCTGGATGCTACCCACTCAGGACACTTGGAATACATTGGACGAGCAGTATGGAGGAATATTGACACGTTTTTTGTGGACTTTTATGGACCTTTCTGTCTCGGTCACCATAGACCTCCATTATTTGAATGTCAGCAGACACCATGAAGCCTCCCAGATCTCCAGATGCATTTGAGATATCAAAAAAGTACTCCAGGGTGTTGTTCGGCATGGGGGTGAGTAGAAAATGAAGGCTAATCATGTTTTGGGTGTACTATTCCTTTAAACAAAGAAAAAGAATGGTACAGAGAAATGCTATTTTTAGATTTGAAGTACCAGAATCTTGTACTATGACAACAGATTTCAAAATGATCAAGTCATTTATTTTTTCAATCTTAAACATTTTTCTCCTTATCAGTTATTGAAAGTTGCCATTTTCTTTTATGTCAGAAAATCCTGGCACGGCTTGTTTTATGTGTGACCGATTCTGCGTTTTCATGTTGTCCCATAAACACGGGTCGTGGGTCCTTTTTGTTGAACCCAAAGCCCTCTAGGTTGCAGTTCTGATATGGGTGATGCTGGCTAAAACTCTGAGTGTTTTCCTCCAACATCTCTTACTGAGGGTCGGATTTTTTTAAACTCCTACTTTTTACATGACCACTGGTCATCTCTCCTAATGAATGATAGAGCACTAATATGTGACGATGTAAATCTTTCCTGTCTTTCTTATTACCAATACCTTTTTTAATTTGGTAGACCAGTGTTTTCAATGGATTAAACAAAACAAACTAAAATAGGACATTGTGCTTTGAGCAAATACAGGATGCTGTTGTGCTTCTAGACAGATCATTGTTTGATGCTGAGGGGTTCAGTCACTTTCTTGAGGGATCATGTGCAGTGCTTGGCTCAGCTTTACTCCAACTGCTCCAGAAGGAGACCTCTGTCACTGATAGTCTTTTGTTTCACTTCTTTTTGATCCCATTTAGAAAACATAGACAGACGCTCCAAAGACCAAATGCTTAAACAATAACCTGTTTAAAACAGGTTTGCAATTTTGCTAAATCAAGCTGGTATTAATTGTTTCTTTAGATCTGTGTATGGCTCTGTTCCCGAAATGCTAATATTTCTTAAATCTTTGCCTTTTGTTCAAAAGAGTTCCAAACAATTTCCTTTCTGAATGTCCTCGTTTCCATTCAACTTAAAAAAACAAAAACAGTTAGTCAGTTTTAGAGAATTAAAACTTAAAATGTAATATTCTCATTATAACAAAATGACAATTGGTAAAGTTTCGATGCGGTTTTGTATTCCACATTTCAAAATTTGGTTACAAAAAGATAACCCTTATAAATCTGGGTTATCTGGCTGGAGGTTTTTTTATTCTGGCCAGTTTGACAATGAATTAATAATCATGTGTCATACCCAAACCACTAAGCAATCAAAGTAGATGGAAATAAGAACTATTAATGTACATTGAATTAAATCAAAGCTAGTAATTTGCTAGTCACACATCTTGTTTTGGTCTACAGACAGTGCTAAAGAGCGCATAAGATGGTGAAATATTCCTAATTGCTCCTTTAAGCAGGGTATCTTTGCACATCAAGTTGAGTTTGAAATAACATAAGGTCTTCTTGTGGAGTGGCAGGTAAAGGACACTATTTTAACATTTCCACAAGTTGTATACGTGGCTAAGAAACTTTGTTTGATAGGTCTGATTGATGATGAAAAAATAAGAATCTCCTTTAGATCGATCATTACTAATGAAACAGGCCCTTGGAGCTCTGATGATCAAAGTTCAGCCATCTAAAACACCTTACTCCTAACCTTTCTAATATAAATGATAAATAGGGGATAGTTTCTGCTGTTTTAAACTGGGTTATTGGTTTAGAACAGCAATGTTTTTTTAATCTCACCTACCAGTTCTCTCAGTGTAATATAACCCCTAAACGCTGAAAATGGGAATATTGTTATAGCTTCCCCTCATTTTTCTCTCCTTAGTTTTAGGATTAGGATTTGATAAGGCAGATAAGCAATTAGCATAGAAAGTTTTGTTTGGTTAAGAAAAATAAAACGGTGGCTTTGCTGACTACTGCCACATGTATAAATGATATTGTGTTAAAATATATGATTTTACATTTTGCCTGATTCTTTAGCTCTAACTTGAAGAGTTTTAAGTTTGGGCCAAGTGTGAAAGCGGAAATTTGCTTTTAACATGAAATGTTGAAAATTCCTATGATTAACAAAACCAATTGAACTCTAAATTTTAAGTTAAAAACCACCAAAACAATTAGTTTGAGCAAAATCTTTACTTAAAAGTTTTTGTCTAAAACAACACATTTCCAGATAGCTTACCTAAGTTCTATTGAAATAATCAGGATGCCTGGTTATTCATGCTTATGTAGGTCAGGTTGAATTTCATTGTCAGTGTCTCAGGTTTCTGTTGAGACCTGGTTTGAAACGCTTCAATCGCTGAATCAAAACGCAACATAAGCGCTCTGAACCTAAACCACCTATCATATATAAAACTGCACGTTGTCATTGTTGTTATATCAACATATAGACGAGGGAAGTAGCCATGCAGACAGTCGTGGCGTCTTCACTGTGATGTGATACTTCTTTTTTGTCCTAATATTTGTTTTGACAGGGTACTGCCACCCCTACTTCCCTGTTCTGATGTACTGTCTGGAAATATTTGATGAAAAATGCTGGTTCATGCATGCAATAACTTTTGTTTTTTTATCCCCTCCTCATCTGTTAAAGGTCACATTACGCTTTTACTTCTAATGTGCTGTAATTCCCAAAAGGACTTTTTTTGTTAACAGGAAGATGCTTTAAAAACTCATCATAACATCTGAAGTATAGTTATAATTTCTCTGATGTAGTGCGTTCATTTCCTTTTTGTCCCTTTTGCAGGTCACCATACCATTTACATTGGAGTCCGTGTGCCGAAGAGCTCCCGGCGTCGGAAGCGCCATCGCCGGAGAACCAGCCACAAGGACAGAAAGGAGAGGTTGACAGCTAATGCGTTTGACAAGTCAGACACGGGCAACAACGACGAGGCCAGCAACAGCATCCTCAAACCTCTCAGTAAGTTCTGATGGACTCCATGTCAGTTCTGATTAGGTTCATGTTTCTCCTGCTGAAGGCTGCTCTCTGCCCCTGTAAAACCCTGTGGCCCCTAACAAAGTTGCTGAGTCCATTCATTGGCCAGAAATAGCTCTGCTGTGTTCTGCTGAGTGACATGTTTATTTTGGACAGAACAAAATCTTTTTTTTTTTTTTGTTGGATCTCATAGCTAGTTATAGCAATGGTGCTGTGGTAGGCGAAGCACATATTCTGGTTAATTATGGTCCTCAGATGGTCTTTAGTAATCAGATTAAATGGACTTTGGAAATGGGCTTCATTGTGGCACAGTTTGTAGCATTGCTGCCTTGCACCAATTCCTAGCTTGGGGACTTTCTGCTTGGAGCTTGCATGGTCTTCCCTGTGCATTAGGGGTATCTCTGCAGGTACTCTGGCTTCCTCACATAGTCCAAAAACATAACTGTTTGGTTGATTAATATTTCTAAATTGCCAATAGGCATGCAAATGATTGTGTGTCTCTGTGTTGCCCTGAATCAGACTGGCAATCTGTACAGGGTGTACCTTGTGTGGCGAGTGGTGGCATAGTGGTTAGAGCAGTGCGCTTGTGCTCTGGGAAGGTTGCAAGTACCTGGTTTGATCCCCACAGCCTGCACTCTGGACCTCTGACAAGACCCTTAACCCCACACTGCTCCCCAGGCGTTGCACAGTGGTAGCCCACTGCTCCCCAATGGGATGGGTTAAATGCAGAGAGTGAATTTCTCCATTGTGAGATCAATAAAGTTAATTTCTATCCTTTCTACCCCACCTTTAACCTATAGTCTGCCGGCTATAGGCACCAGCCCTCAGTGGCCATGGCAAACATGTGGTAGAAGATAGATTGATGGATTTGTGAAATCTCAATGATAATTAGTGACAATAATTGGTATAATTGGTAAAGGAGAAAAAAAGTACTAAATAATGTATAAAAATATGACTATCACTGAGGTTATTTGTGCTTTAATGATTCCCTTGTTTTTTTATTCTTGCTTTTTACTTCCACTAGCACTAATCAGGGCACTAACTCTCTTTTGCTGGTATTTTGTGGGCTGTAAACTGGAAGCTATCTTGCAAACCAGCGATCTGCATCACATTCATAATTTTTTATGAACAATTGGATTTTGATTCAGTCTGGTGAATTCTAGGATGGAGAATGTTAGAGTTAAACAGATAATTAGATATTTTTCCTTTGGGTATTGACTAGTTGTAAGCCGTCAAAGCTGTTTGTTTTCTAATTCTTATTAATAGTCAGAAAGTGGATCTTAAAAGAACAATATACCGTATTTTCACGACTATAAGGCACACTTAAACGTCTTTTTTTTCCCTCAAAATGTGCGGTGCGCCCTTTGGTGCAGTGCGCCCTATGTGTGTTGTAAGTGCGACTTTTGAGACCACCTCATTGAGGAGATGATGAAAGAGTGGCTGAATGTAAGGAGACCAGGTGTTTTTTTTCCACTCATCACCATCGCTGTTAATCTGTGACTCCATGCGTGCCCATCTCACAGCTGATGTGAAAAACATGGTGAAACAAATTAAGCTGTGCTCGCTGTTATTCAACCGCTCGACATCGGTGTAAACCGGACCCAGCAGGTGCAGCAGAAGCAGCGTGTTTACATGCAAAGTCAATGGTTGACGCGCGTATAGGCGCAGCAAAAGGTCCTGCATGGCGTTTTGAGCAGCAGGCGCTGCGCGTCGGGAGCGTTTAAGCATCTGACGCTCCGCCAACGCGCTGCTGCTGCTCGAGATGGAAAAATTGAAGTTTTGCTGCTGGAAGCGCCGCATCAACCAATCAGAGAAGCTGATCTGGGAGCTGACAGCGAGACAGACACTTCGCTCTGATGACATATGATATTAAGGCAAATGAAAAAGGCTGGATGGATGAGGAGATGATGAAAGCGTGGCTGAGGCAGGAGTATGTGAGGAGACCAGGTGGTTTTTTCCACGCATCACCATCGCTGTTAATCTGTGACTGCGTGCCCATCTCACAGCCGATGTGAAAAAAAAGGTGAATCAAATGAACGCTGTTATCCGGGGGTCTGACAAAGGAACTTCAACCGCTCGACATCGGTGTGAACCGGCCGTTCAAAGTAAGGCTGTGAGCGGCGTGGGAGCGATGGATGACCGACGGAGACCACAGTTTCACGATAAGTGGAAGGCAGCGCCGGGCAAGTTACGCCACCATTTGCGGATGGATTGTTGATGCTTGGACTAATGTGTCTGCTGGCTCTGTTGTTCGAGCTTTCGCAAAAGCCGGCATCATTTCTGAGGAGCCGCGCTGCACGGAAAGTGACTCTGACAGCGAAGAAAGGGAAATTGGCATGTCTGATTTAGCGCAGCTGTTTAATTCAGAAACAGAGGATGATGACTTTGATGGGTTTGATTAATACTTTGTAATAAATACTTGAATAAAGCACAATCATACTCAGTTTTGCTCCCGCTCTATTTTTCTACCTGAAAACTTAATTCAACAGCAGCCTCTGGCCGGGTCTCCTCCGGTTTCACCGCGGCGGCTGGCAGGTGTTTTTTCATCTAAATAATCTAAATCTTGCAGCTATATTTGCTGTGATCAGTGGGAATAAAGTAGTTTTAATATGTTTTTAAGTGAAAAAGTCCACCTGAAAACTTAATAATTGCAGTCAGTTCATCCAGATTATTATCCTGCCTATACTATTTCTGTCGGAGGCGCTCAGACCCCCACATACCAGCGGTGCACCGACAGTAGAAATCCCTTCAACAGCAGCCTCTAGGCCGGGTAGCCTCCGGGTTCACCGCGGCGGCTGGCAGGTGTTTTTCATCTAAATAATTTAAACTGCAGGCACCAGGATACCGGCAATAAAAGCGAACATATTCCGTCGGCAGGTTTCAGGATTTTAAGTTAATTTAGGAGTGATCACAGCGCTCTGTCATCTGCGATGCGTCTGTCTCACAGCCAGCTCCCAGGTTTGATAAATACTTTGTAATAAATACATGAATAAAGCACAGTCATACTCAGTTTTGCTCCCGCTGTATTTTTAAATACGCAGTAGAGGTATTTAAACGTAGTAGAGGACATGTACCTGTATATAAAAACGCGCCCTATAGTCCGGTGCGCCTTATGTGTGTGTTAAATACAGAAATGGCACACATAACTGAGACTGCGCCTTTTAGTACGGTGCGCCTTATGGTCGTGAAAATACGGTACTCAAAATGGGAACATTACTGTGGTAAATCAGAAAACCAGTAAAATTTGCCTGTTGTTTTTGTGCTAATTATCCTCAGCAATGCAAGTCAGTAACAACATTTTCTTCTCTATTATATACTACTTCAAAAACTAAAATAGATATTTACACAGAAGGATGTCACTGTTTGTGCCACTGGTTTTATTAATACATGAACCATCACAGGCACAACTGTTTTGTTTATATGTAGGAAACTAGAATAATCTGGCATAGAAAACATGTTATTTACTTGCAGATGAAAACGTTTGGTTATCTAACATAACCCCAGTTCTTAGAATAATATGAGCGAGGTGTCTCGCTATGGGATGCAGCCTCCTGCAGCCCTGATAGAAGCATCTATCTCAATCTGCCAATCCTGATTGGCCGGTGGAAGTGCCCATCATACGCCACGCCCCGTAGCTCCGACTACTAAAGCGTGTGCTGATCACGGCACTCCAATTCAACAAGCAAACTTCTTCTCGCCGCCCTGCAAGAAGGGTCGTCTGGCGAGACACCTCGCTTATATTATTCTAAGAACTGGGGTTATGTTAGATAACCAAACGTTCTTTTTCATAATATTCACTCGGTGTCTCGCTATGGGATATGGTAGCTCCCGTATTGCCAGACAGCTTATCGAACAAGAACCGGCCGATGGGGAAGGTCCACAAGGTCAGTTATGACTCTAGGACCGCACTGGCCACGCACGGTCCAGACACGTCAAGCATGTAGAACCGGACAAAAGTCAGAGGCGAAGACCAATTCGCCGCTGAACAAATGTCCTGAACGGACACTCCCCGAAATAAAGCCCAGGACGCAGCCATCCCGCGGGTAGAGTGTGCACGCAGACCCGCCGGGGGCTGCAGACCCCTGCTTCCATACGCCAAAGCTATAGCCTCCACCACCCAGTGGGCGAGGCGTTACTTTGTGATCGGCTGTCCCTTACGGGGCTCCGCCCAGGAGACAAAGAGCTGATCACTCCTCCTGAAGCTCTGCGTCCTGTCCATATAAGAGCGCACGGCTCGAACAGGGCACAGCGTGTGCGCTCGCTGTTCACCTGGGGAGGCGGCGAACGCCGCTAGCTCGATCGGTGAATAAGAACCAACCACTTTAGGAACAAAGGCCGGGTTGGGCTTCAGAACCATACGCGTGTATTCCGGGTCGAACCGGGTACATGCGGGGTTCACAGAGAGCGCATGAATGTCGCTGACTCGTTTCGCAGAGGCCAGGGCCAGTAACAGCACTGTCTTGAGAGACAGATGTTTAAGACTGGACCCCAACAACGGTTCAAATGGGGGTCCCTTAAGCCCCTCCAGAACCACCGACAAATCCCACGGAGGCAGCAAAGGTCTGGAGACGGGGAGGAGCCTGCGGGCGCCCTTCATAAACCGACAAACCAAAGGGTGTTGGCTCGCCGTTTTGTCTCCAAATCCTATATGGCATGCTGCTATAGCTGCCAGATAAACCTTAACCGTGGAAAAAGCTTTTCCTTTATCAATCAGTTCCTGTAAAAACGACAGAATCGCTGGTACAGAACACTGAAAAGGAACGTAGTCCCGTTCAAGACACCACCGCTCAAACAGTCTCCACTTGGAGCCATATAGGCTCCTAGTAGAGGGAGCCCTGGCGTTTTGGATAGTAGTAATTACACTCTGAGGGAGTCCCGTAGTGGTTAAATTAAGCCACTCGCGGGCCAGGCCCACAGCTGCAGTCGCTCCGGGTGTGGGTGGAACACTGTCCCCGCACCTTGCGAGAGCAGGTCCCTGCGCAGCG